CTTACACAAACACCTGTATATACAGAATTCATCTGTGATTTCAAGTATAAGGCATTTCTCATTTCCCTTTTTTGAATATCCATCTTGAGTAAATACTTTAACCACATTAAAATTGGTGTCACAGCATATTACTACTACCCCCCTCCCCAGCGCCCGGTGCACGTTCCAGCTGCTCCCCCCCCGGGGCTGATATGCCCTGGGCCCTGCATACCCTACCCCCTAGGAATGGCTCTGGCTGTCACCTCTGAAAGACAAATTAGGTCTCTAAAGTGAATCAAAAGTGACAGAGACTAAATCATAAAGACTAAAGTAGTCTCATATACCTTTCTGCTCTAACAAACATTTGCATGGTACTCACACTGGAAGAACAGAGAGAAGTTCTGAACATATCAGACTGACCTAAATTCCAAGTTTTGTTTTGTCCGTAACATCCAATGACAATATTACCATATTTACTCAAATAGAAGATGACCTTGATTATAAGATGACCCCCCCATAATTAGATTCTATATATGGAAGATAAATAAAATTGATTTAATTTTCCAGGTATAAAGCTAATTATTGGAAGTTTGTCTTGAATTTGTCAACCTTCCACTGTTACAGCATGGAAAAGAAATCTGGGGGGGTCAAGTAACTACTTTGCCCTCAGGTCCCACCCCCAACTTCTTCCCCCTTCAGCCCTTCCCACCCCCCGTAGCTGTAGGAATTTGCATATAGTAGTACCTATAGACTTAGTTCACCCAGAATTGATGCATTTCATCTTTTCTGAAACCACTGCAAGTTTTAGCACAGGAACTCCATAAACACACAGTAGCACTTCAGCACCTACTTAGAGAAAGTACTAACTTCTTTTTCTTTGCAAAAACAGATTTCCGCACGCGCACACACACACGTATGTATATGTGTGTGCATACACATACACACACGCACACACACACACACACCCCCCTACACCCCTCTATACCTCTACAGACATCTATACCTCTTCAGTCTTGTGACCAATATGGTTCACTCAACAGTCCAAATCATACTTTTATAGTTGCACCGTTCTCATTCCTATTACAATAATAGCACCATGAACACACACTTAGCCCAAAGCCAAAAGACTTACCATGTAGTTCATTGGGCTGGTCCCCACCAGTCAGCAGCATTTCAAGCCATAATGACCCTCTAGCTCAGCACTGCTCAGTATGTGTGTGTACTCCAGTACCCACCACAAAGGCTCCATATGTGCTAATTAGCACCCCCCCAAATGTATATGTTGATGAGTCATAAGGCAACCTGGTCAGGTTTCACCTCATGGCAGGTGGGGTGACACTAACATGTAACAGGTTAAGAGAGGGGTCGACAGGGATTCTGGGTAAAGTACTAGGGGCCACATTTGCTAATGTTTGCCAGAAATTTAAGGCTAGTTAAGAAACAGGAATTGTTGGAAAAGGGATAGAAAGGTGCATCTCAGCTGTGGGAGTAAAGAGGAAGTAAAAATAAATGCAGTGTAGTGGCTCACTGTGACTTCAGCAGCTCACTGTGACTTCAACACCGTAACAGAGTCTGCACTGAGGGGGACTGTGTTCAATGGGGAGCACTATCATATGCCTTATTCTTATAGATTGCCCTAACCTTTCCTTGTGGTAGGTTCCTATATGGACCATGTACTGTATAGTCATGCTGGGTGTGGGCTACATTTAATCAACTTGATAGTTGGTTTCCATTACTGAGGACATGCAACTTTTAACAGCAGTTCAAAGACAGGCAATGCATTTAATGTGGTTTCTTTGTATGTGAATACAAAATGAGGGTCTTTTCCCTTCATGTTGATGAGAGGGAACCTCATCTTGTATTCAAATAAATATAGTAAAAGTTAAGGTAGTATTATCCCCTGTTCTACTTCACATAGTATGTCTAATACTATCATTTCCAGTACAAATATAGGAACAGAGCTCAGGTCATAGCAGATAATTAAAACACGGAAAATGATTTTAACAATTTTATGTATTTGTTTTTTGATAGTAAGGCTGGAAGTCTTAGGAAGATGAGCAATGGGATACAGTGCTGATGTACAGCTCACTGTTCAACTCCCAACCAGTTCTCTAGCAGGTAAAAGCACCATAGGATGATTTTTCCATAGTCTACCTGAAACAAGATTAAGTATAGCTTTCCCCCAAATGGGGAAAAGACTCCAAATGACTGCATAAGCTGGCCATCTCAAACTGAGAAACCTAGTTTTGAATGGGCATATCTAAACTAATCTCACCCATACAAAAGTAGCCTTTTAGATCAGAGAAGAGGTACATTAGGGATGAAGAAGTTTGCACCTTAGATGTTGTCTCCATTTTTCAGCTCTAAATGCTCTAAATCTACCATTTCAGGTCCACATTATCACAAACTAGTCCTCAAGTCCCCAGTGCCTCAAAACCCAGGAAAACTCTCCTATCTAAATGTAACAGGCTAGGGAGGATGCAACCTTCTTCCAGCCTCTATGGAAGATGCCATTTGTTTGGCCCTTTCTCCTACCTCCACTCAGAAAGCATTTTCACATATGTGCAGGAATCTCTGTAGAACTGGACCCTAAAAGAAACGTAAAATTCTAGTCTACAGTAAACAGCACTCCATGAACCTAACTTAGCAGCAGTTTTTTTTTCCTATTATTGTTCTTAGATTTACTTTTATTTATATGGTTTTTCATTTATACAACTGCTTAAAATATGTTTTAGAGTTTAAAAAGGGTAAAATATTAAGTATGTTACTACACTTATACCTTGCATTGCATATAAATATATGAAGTTAAAAATTATTTATAATAGGAATGCACCAATAAAGATTTTCTTGGCTGATACCGATGGCTGATTACTAGTCAGCCATGTCAGCCGATACCAATCCAACAGCTGATTTATTGGAATACAGATGGGCAGTGTAGAAAGCAGCCTCCTGCTGGTAAGTCGGGGGTGGGGGGAATGGAAAGGGTGGGGAAAGAGGGAAGGGGCTTGCGGGGGCCAGATCGAGGCCCCCATGGAGAGGGAGGGAGTGGGGCATGGGCAGGGGCACGGGCAGTAAATGCAACCCCAGGAGTGGGACAGATCCACAGGCAGCTCATCCGGGGAGTGTGGGGGTGGGGAGCAGGGGCAGCTCCCCACCGCTGCGCACATCCCTGGAGGAGGCATAAGGGGCATGTACCCGCCTGGATTTGTGCACAGGACAAGAGCAGGCTGCCCACTATGGGCTTGGGGCCAGGAGCTGTCCCAGCCTCTTCCTAGCCCGGGCTGGGGCTGTGCTCAGGGTGAGTGGGGACATGTGGCAGCAGTGCTGGGAGGGGTAGCTATGGGGAATTTTGGGGTGGCTATAACCCACCCCATTGACACCCCTCCCAGTGCTGCTGCCCGCTCCATCCCTACCTGTCCCAAGTGCAGCCCCAGCCCAGCCCCTGTGCTGGGAAAAGGCTGGTGTCACCCCTAGCCCTGAGCCCACAGCAGGCTGCCTGCCCTTGCCCAGTGCACAAATCCAGATGGGCACATGGCCATCATGCCTCCCCCAGTGGGGGTGGGTGCAGTGGCAGGGGGGAACCCCCCCCACCCCGGCACTCCCTACACAAGCCACCAGTGGCTCTGTCCTGCTCCCAGGAGGCTGCTCTTTGTGTTGCCTGGCTGCATTCCTGGCTGCGTGCATGCTGCGGCTGTGCACATGCATGTGGCATTTATCGGTGACATTATCAGCTACTCCAGCCAAAAAAAACCAATTGCTAATAATGTTAATTTTACTTCTATTGGTGCTGATCCGATATGTGACCGATATATCGGTGCACCCCTAATTTATAAAAATTAACTAATTGAACTTGATTTTACTTAGATATTCCTGAATATTCAGTGCTGAAACCATACTTGTTTGACAAGATAAGCATATAGTGTCACATCACAGGCTACCTCTAAATGCTGCCACATTCCTATATATTGTAAAACATAATGCAGTCACAAACAAATGTTCACCTTACTATTTTTTTAACAGGAAAATGATATGTTTAGTTTTAGTGTACATCAGAGGTTGTGATACTCTGCCCCCTACCAAATGGTTACTGGAAAAGTGCTTCTGAACTCTGGCATCTCAGAACAAATAAGGTAAAATGAATAAACAGATTATGAAAACAGAAGATTCAATTTGCAATGATCTTGGTAAAATGTAATCATGGGAGAAATATATGTCAGTTAATGCTTTATTAAGTATCCCTCGCTCTTATATTTTAAAATAATCCAGAAATTCTCAAGACAAATACAAAAGTTCAAGCAAAATCCTCTGAAGAGCACAGCAGCCTTAATTAGGATAGGACTAACTTACATCTAGTGCCAGATTGCTCATCTCCACTCCACTGATGCCATTCTGCTCTATTTAGTAGTACAGAACATCAGTTTACATAAGCAGAAACACACTGTACACAAGGCAAAAATAGGTCTACAAGATGAAAAACTGAGAGGTGTCTGTAGCACTAATCCAACAATGCTAAAATATGCAGATTGCTGACAAAGAAAACACAAGGGACATCTTTACACATTCTCTGGGGTGGGGGTGGTGCTTCAATTAGATCAGCTCTTTGGGGCCACTCTAATTAAAGTGCCCACAGCTTCTAGTGCATTCAGCGCCCCACACTTCAAAATGGTGGCAGGGATGCTTTAACTAAATTTAATTCAATGAGCTTTAGTTAAAGCACCCCCCCAGCCATTTTGAATTGTGGGGATGCTGAATACACATGACAACAAGGCTGCTGGAGCAGCTAATTAGACACACAGCAGGTGTCAGGCATGTGTATAGGTGCCCAAGATGACTAGAGCAATAAAATATTACAGATAGGAGCATGTAGTAGAAAGAAGAGACAGGAAAAGGTAACTGTTTATTTTTAGACAAAGATAACATTGCCAGGAATTACCATTATTTTTTGAGATACTTGCAATTAAAACTAACATAACTAGTATTGAAAAATGCCACTGAATGTTTTACTGGGATCATTCACTTACCTGATACCTATAAGCAGAGCTATAAGCATCGAACAGATAGGATCTGCTATCATTAGACCATAATTCTGCATCAATAGCGCAGATATAATTACACCAACACTTCCAAGCGTGTCTGCAATTATGTGTAAAAGTACACCTAAAAGGACAGAAATTAAAAATCAATGCATTTAAAACTTGAAGCTCTTTGAATTGACACATTTTGAAAAGAATTATTTTTACGTAATAGATTACAAAAAGTTCATATAACAGATTTAATGTAGTACATCATAGGATTTGGAAGTATAACTTTTAAAAAAAAGAGTATTTAGACATTTATAGACTATTTTTTGCAAAAGACTTCCTGTGAAATACTGAATATTCTTGTTTATTGCCATCAGCTAATTGCCAGAGTAGTTTTAATCAGGGGTGCACCAATAGAGATTTTTTGGACCGATACCTATGGCCGATGTTTAATGAGCCATATGTGCTGATACCAATCTGATTGCCGATATGCAGCCGGGCAGGTTGAAGAGCAGCATCTGGTTAGTAAGTCTGTTGGGGGGCAAGGGCAAAGGGGAGGGAAAGGGCATAGCAGGGGGCAGATAGAGACCCCCAGCACTGAGGGAGGGAGTGAGGCAGGTGCTGCATAGCTGGGGGGGGGG